CTTACGGGGCGGCCTCGGCGCTAGCGTGGGCGGTGATCCGGGGGCGGAGCGGCTGGGTCCCGCCTGGAAAAGTCGCTCCGCCCCGATCTAGGCCTGGGCCCCGGCCCGCCCGGGAAGGCCGCTCCGCCCGGGCGGGCGCGGGCCTCGGCGGCTAGAAGGCCGCTGCTATTCCCCTCAGCTTCCAGAGTGTGTTTTCCGCTTCAGGTGGCTTCCCGGAGCGTGCAGAGGTGTTTAATTTACACATATACGTGTGTATGTTGTGCGTGTACATATATACATATTAAAAAAAAAAAAAAAACCTAAACAAAAAAGAAGAAAAACAATACGCTGGAAGAAGGGCCAGGCTCCCAGCTTGCAGCTACAGAGTAATTAAAGAGAGCAATAAAGCTAGACAAGGTGATAATTGTCCAGGTGGTTTTAATAAAGCACAGATTACTTTCCCCCCCCAATGATCAAGTATTTATATACAATGTACCAATAGTGGATTAAAAAAAAAATATTACAGCATTGAAAATCTGATTTATACAGCAAACAGCAGAAAACAGAAGGAGCTAGAGGTATTCCTGTAATTCCGTCTGTTTTAAACACTTCCAACTCAAAAGCACCATAGACTGCTGCAAGTGAATCAGAGGACCAGATTTTATTCAGATCTAGGCAAGGCGCTCGTTAAGAAATACTCTTCAGTATGTACAAGATGAGAAACCACGGGGCAGAGCAAAGGGTCTGTCACTGTGCGGGCAGCGGCTGGGCCATGTGCATGGCGGGGGCCTGCATCGGCCACCCCTCCTGGTGGTTCTGCAGCAGGCGGTACAGCTGCTTCAGGTGGGCCACGATGTTGTCCTTGATGTCAGGCGTAGAGATCTGGAGGCGCACGCTGCCGCTGTCGAAGGAGCGTGTGAAGTCACCAGAAAACATTTCATAGATCATCCGGGCCACAACTGGAATGACCTGTTTAAGAAGAAAGCAGTTGTTTTAGCCTAACGGTCACACAGTATATTCCCGCTATTTTGCGGGAATCCCCTGCCCTGGATGCAGGGGATGGTTTCCACAAAAACCTAAAGTGCACTCACAGAGCGATGCTATTTGGCACTTGTAGCATTTGTATTTGCCATGACAAAACCCACCAGCCCTGTTGGGGTTTCCCGGTGTCAGTAACCGCAACAGAGAAGAACAGGTCTCTGGTATCCGTGGGCATCGATCCAGAGCCAACGCACTGGCCCCAGCAAGGCTGGCACGTGTCACTTCAGAGCCTCAGCTCCTACCTGAACCACAATCAGCTTCCTCTCCCTGGGTTTTCCGTCAGGCCATTCTTCTCCAAAACAGAAGTAGATCTCATATGGTGGCTGTTTCTCAACTTGTCCTTTCTGATGGGCAATCAGCTCTAGGAAGAAAAGCAGAATGCTGTGGGGTTGTCCTCTTTCAATTAGGAACACTCACCCCATCCCACCTCATCATATCCCAGGTCTTACCTACACCGTCCTTTGCCAGAGCCACCTCTTACACATACATAATTACAGCTTACGTCTTGAACCTGGAAGAGCCTTCTTTAACAGCAAGGCCACCAATGTTTTTCAGAGCATTAAATGAGTGCACATTCACTTTCTTCTGATGCGCACCCGCTCCATGGTCCACTCAAGTCAGGGCAGCGGTGGCCCCTACCCAGGCTCCATGCAAGAGCAAACTCATTGGCACAACCAGGCCAAGCCCCAGTGCAGACCACCCTTTCCAGTAGTGCCACTAAGTGCCCAGACCACTATCCAAAGCTATTTTCCAGAAGCAGAAGCTACCTACCGCTTAGGAACGTTTCCAGACAGAAGAGTTTGACTTTCTTTTGCCTCTCGATCAAATTTGGTGTGGTGGAAGAAGGCGCACAGGGACCAGACCAGTACACCTTGCACTGGCAGAGCCGGACAGCGTAGATGGCATGGCCACTGACCTCCAGGATCAGTCCCCTGTCCATAACATCCAGCAGCCGACTTGTGAAGACCTTCTGCCTTTCATTGGTGATTTGCTCTGTTCCTGGAAACTTTACTTGCTCCAAACTAATGGGCCCAAAGAGCTCTTCCTGGTCTGGCATAGGACCCAGCTCTCCGTAGAAAAGTCTGCATCCCTGCGGGTTGCTTACTGTCGTCGTCGGTCCAGTCTCCTTTCCTCGATATTCAAACTTGATTTCTAGGTCTGTCACTGAGAGAGAAACTGTCAGTATGGCTTTTCCTGGACCTTTGCATATACCATATCCGCAGAAGAGACCCACCACACAATCCACGCTACAGTCACAGGGATGTTTAAACCGTACATAGTTCTCCGTGCTAACAAGCAAACAGTCACAGGAAAAAAAAAAATCAAAACTTTTTTTTTTTTTTAAAGTACAATGACAGAAGCACTACAAATCCATATACATACTTGGCAGAGAGCTGATCCACAGCTCAGGGCTGCTGAAGAAGTCATGCTGCAGTGCAGTTGGGGGCATTTCCATATCTACAGGTTCATTCTTTGGCCACACAGCTTCAGGGCTGCAGTTTTCTGCACTGGCTGGAGCCATTGGAGAATCTACAAAAAGGAAACAATTCTTCAGTAAACCATGATTTTATTTCAAGCATGCACCGATTTACAAGCAAATACCTTCACTAATACATTAGTCTATGCCACCAACCATTGATATTAAGAAACGGAAATGTCTCTTGAATAGGGACATGCTGAGATTGATTCAATTCTTCCTCTTCTTCCTCATCAAGATCGTTATCCTTTTCATCCCATGGAGCTGAGCCAGTGGAACCTGCAAACAAGCACATCCTTGTGGGCAGCTGATCAGGGTGAAACACTGCAGTGCATTTCTTGAAAAAATAATGTAATCTTCTTATTGGTTTTGCACAATATTGGAAATTTATTTGTGTATTTTCTAAATATAATTTTAAAAAGGAAAAATCTGATCCATACAACATACTATTTTCAGTTTAATATATTATTCTAGAAAGCCGAGGAAACAGATAAACTATCACCAACATTGGACTGTTTAGCAGAAAACATGCAACTGTGTACAGCTTTATTAATTTTAGTAGAGGTACACTATGGTTCAAAGACCTCTTAGTTTAAGTACAGCTGGGCTTACACATGGCAGCTGCTTTCTGCGGCACACAGAGGCAGCTTGAGAGTTAATGCCGCGGAGGGAAAGGAACTCGCATTGGACAAACGCCTGCTCAGTAACCACCCTTGTGTCAGCGAGGCCCTCACCTGGATTAATGATTGATCCCTGGGACTGCGGGATATCGCGCACTTCATAAATTTTAATAGGATTCATGGGCACCTCCTTGGTGCCATCATACATCAAATTAAATTCCCGGCTTTTGTTAAGAGCACATCGGAGCTGGGCTTTCCACTTTGCAGGGTCTGGCTCATCGACTCCTTCCTGGTACTTTCCCGTTTCCACAGCCCAAGCCTGGGGACAAAGTACACTGTGCTCAGTCCAGCCCTCCCAAGAGAGCAGCTTTTATCAGAAATCAAACTTCCAAACAAATTCACTGTAAAATCCTTCTCTTGCAGAAGTCTTAACTACAGCTCTTCTGATAACAACAACGGAAATTCCTGCTTTAATAGCTTTTCCCATTAAAAGAAGGGGGAGAAAAAAAGATGTAAATCCAAATTACCAAAAACCATCAGCAATTCTGAGCATGCATCTTCATACAAGTTAAGAAAGGATAAACTGTACAGGATTGTGCACTGAGTTTTTCTACGTGCCTCAGGTTCAATACCAAAGTCATTTTTGATAGCGAGCCGTACCCTACGTAGGAGGAATGGACTCAGGTAAAATGGGACAGAAGAGCAGCCACAGACACCCAGATGGCTCTCTCCCTTTCTCACCCCAACACCAGACTATCAGTCCACAAACCCTCTAAGGCAGAGGAGGTCAGAAATTCCTCAAAGGAGCGTAGGAGTTATAATGAATCCCTTGGGATAACAACATTAAGGGCAGCAGTGATGAGTATTGGAAGATTGTGGTGGACCTCTTAAGATTTGTGTAACAGTATTTAATGGTTTGCTGCTAAGAAGCAGCCAGCTACCACATCCTAAACCAAGCATATGAAGCAAACAGCAGCAATGTTCCAGAGGCCACACAATCGGACATCATCTGGCCTTTGGTGGTCAGAAAGGGTTAAAGAACTCAACACCATTTCAGGCAGTGCCAAGGCTGGCATCCAGGTGCACAAAGTGGCTTTTCTGAGGTCAAAGAAATAGGACAAAATGTGCCTGGAAACAGCTACTGAGATGCCTATCCAGATCCTGGGCCAACAATTCAACCCTTTGTCTCTGTTTAAGAGCTGTGGTATATCCGAGCTCTCCTCTCCCTCACCTTGAAGATGGTGTTCTCCTCCTCGTGCTGCGGGCTGTGCCGAGTTGCGTGCTTCCAGGGGATCTGAAACCGCTTCGCTTCTCGGTTTAGCCAGATAAGGCCAGGATACATACCGCTATCTACCTGGGCTACCAGCCACGGCTTCAAGCGAACTCTTCGCGGGTGTAACGCCATTGTCTACAAAAGAGAGGGATAATAGGAGACCAACTGCTAAAGGTTAGTTAAGACTCATACGCTTTACAAAAAAAAGCTAATTTGATGAGAAAGGACTCTATGCAGTGTTACTGCTGTTGTTTGTTATGTTACTGCTCACTGACACCACTAATTCAGATTCATCCAGGTGACCCTTCTTCCAGGAGGAGTTACAGACGCATCACAAAGCGGGGACCGTAATTGTTACAAGAACAACAACTTACTATTAAATATTCCAGT